GAGACCTCAAGGACAAGTTTTTGGCCCCCGAGGGCCGCCTTTGAGGCATCATGCCCACTCACTAACTCATTAATACCAACAACGGGGGACCCGGGCTTCCCCGTTTCACATCCCAACAAGCGGTTTCACATCTGATCCACCTGTTTGAGAGCAACTTGTGAACCCCCAGGTCCAGTCTCGGGCCCAGTTCAGTGAATTCGGATCATGGGATGTCACTAAGCTGTCCCCTTCCAAATGTCCACCTTTTGCCAAGGGAGCCCAGGGAGCCAAGGTCGGTCACTGCCACTCCTGACCCTCCTGACCAGGTCTGCAAAAGGATCTGAAAAGGTCTGAGCCCAGGTCTCTAAAGCCTAGCCGTTCCTGGACGATGCAGCGCCAGCGCCACTCTATCCACTGAATCGCAGTGTCCGGCAGCGCCTCGCCCGAGCCAGAACGCCCACCACCTGAGGAAGGCTTGAGGTCACGGCCTCCTGTTGAGTGGAATAATGATCCTGAAATAATCATGGTTTTGTGGATGGCGCATGATGGCAGCATCTGGTATTCGGCACATGGTCATCCAAGGCGCCATGAAGTCCACTTTCATGATTGTTCCATGTTATTTCTAGACTCCAGGCCTCCAGGAGTCACAATGCCCACAGAACACAAACAACAGAAAACCAAACACGTGGTACTGGTCATCTGCCAGGTCCAAGGCACTCTTTCGCACCTTCCCAACCAGTTCACACTTTCCTTCTCTCTTCACACCTCGGATCCGATCCAGTTCCTGCACGATCTTGTGGTCATCAAACTTGCTGTGGTGTTCGCACATGAAGCGATGACTACTCTGCTCCACCACCTGGTGCACCAAGCCTGGCTTGCTCTCCAAGCCCATGAACTCCCGCACTCGCTCCACGCTGGCGGCCTCCGTTGGGCTTGAATCACTGGCGGGTCAATCTGGTAGCAAATGGGGAAGTGATAACCTTCTCCCAATATCCACCAGTACAGCTCGCCCTATCTTCGACAATTGTTCCAACATCCCCTCAAATTCAGCACAAAGGACCATCAATCATGTACCACAAATTCTCCCGGTGTTACTTCAGGTAGCTGTTCGCCCAGGGCCAGGCTCCGCCCCCGCCTTGTCCTCGAGTACATCATCGAAAAAGAAGAACAGGACACCAGGGTCATGACGATGCTCCCACCAGTCGCACATATCCTGCGGTCTTTCACGAGGGGGGGGCACGAGGGAACCCGCGTGGATGAATTCCACAACACAACGTCAATACCGTGAAAATGGATCCCTGTACGAGCTGTTCTCATCTGCCACCCCACAGTGGCTGTTGGGGTCTGTGACTCTGCAGGAGGGTATGTCATGTCGAGCCGTGTCCAGGTCTCACGCCAACCTTCCAATCGATCGCGCCGTGCACAGCGCCTATCGATCGCGCACAGCGCGCGCGCGTTTGATGCGCCACTTGGGTCCTTCAAGGCCCGGTCGATACCACCAGGTACTAGCCGCATCACAAGGAAGGCATCAAGGGGGACATCCGATTCCAGAATGGAGGCAGTGAAATGCCAGTCACTCACCAGCACATCCTGCGCAAGTCGTTGCTTCTATGGTCACATAGGTTGCTTCCGGATGTGACGACTCTGTGACGACGGTTGGTGGCGAATATTCAAAAGCTCAGAGTCACAAACATACACCATAGAAGCTCCTACAAAAGACCATATGAGTGTGTACATGTGTGTACTAAATGGGGAGACCCCCAAAGATCTTTGGAAGAAGGTAAATAGACCAAAACCCATTGATTGGAGACCTCCCTTAGGATGTTTGCTTCCCTCTCTATTTGCTTTTTCAGTGAGGCACGCTATACATAATTATGCATGTATACATGTGTACAGTGTACAGTACATATATTTGCAAATCGGCATTGGAAACCACTCCAAGGGTGGCTTGCGTGCCGTGACAGGCAACATCCTGCAACCAACCCACTTAGGCGAGCTACTCAACACCTGACCGCATTCTATAATTAACTGCCCAATCCAAACAGCCATTCAGCTGGCTCTCCTTCACCTTACACTTCCCCAAGCACTCTCTCCAAAGCATTCACTCCAAAAAGCACTGACCTTAAAGACATGCAGCTCTACCCAGCTGCACTCCTTCAGCTCACGAAAGCAGTAGATCCGCTTACAGCTCTTGGGCAAGCGACGGAAGCTCAAGTGCGACTTGTAGATCCGCGGCACGGCCACCTGCAGCTGCATTGAACATGTCACTGTCACTGAGTATGGCCGAATTCTGAACTGAACATGTGGCCCACAACTCAACACATTTCAAAAAAACTATGAGAACATGGTCCAACCCATGGTCAACTGAATCTAGCCACAAACTTTTACGCCTGCTCTGCGTTGATGTCATTGGTCGGTAACAAGGAGGCAGGGCCACCCTCCAGCATGGGAATCACATCCATCTGGTCCTCAAAAGCACTGGCGTCCCAAACTCCGCCGACGCGAAGTTGATGACACACCTGCAAGAGCATGGTGGTACCGCCTTAGTGTGAGGTTTTGGACGGATGTGATCGGCATGATGAAGCAAATCAGTAGGCTGCCTGCTACTTTCTTATGCCTAGAAGTCCCTATAACCTCCAAAAACGAGCTACGCAGAAACTCAGAAGGACTGGGTATGGCCAAGAAGAAGCGTGCCCCAAGAGATGAGCGATTTGCGGAGTTGGCGAGTGGTCTCATCTCTTGACCCATTGTTGTGAAGAGCTTCTCTATCATTCTCTCTTGGATTTGCTTAAGGCACCTGACACCTGTAAAAAAGGGGAATAACCTATATATAGGGAACATAGAAATCAAGTTGAGCAAAACCAGTCTCTGTATCCACCTGTTTCACATTGTTGCACCAAATGTCGTGTCTCAGGGCCCCGGTCCACACTCGACAAAGGCAGTGAGCAGTCAAGCGCCCCGAACTCAAGCCCAGATTCGGGGCCAAACTCCATTCGCCTCATGTTCCCTATGATCCCCCCCAAACCAAGAAACACAAATCCTTGAAACTTGAAACCATCCCCACTCTCATCCGTTCCAGTACCCCCTCTTCCCCCTTCCTCTTCAGGGTAGTCCAATTCCACGGCACAGCGGCTCTTAGGAGGCACAGCCACCACGAGATCCTCGACGCGACGCTGCCAACGCTTCTGCAGCTCCTGAGGGTCGCTGAGGGTCTCCACGTGGCGCTGCAAGGGGCGGAGCTGCCAGGAGAGGTGCAAACGCCAAGGGACGCTCCTGCTGGGTTCGGATGTCCGGATCCGAATCGCATACGGAGGGACAGTGATGACAAACAAGTCTTTAAGTTGTTTTTTGCATGAAGTTTTCTGGACCGTTCTGTGGTCTCTTGAGCCATCTTGAGGCCCTCCATCCCGGCTGGATGTTGGATGGATGAACATGAACTATCGACTATCGCACCTAAAGTTCGACATGCCATGACATTCCAAGCTGAGCCTCAAAATGATTCAAAAGGCATAAACCTTGGATTGGAGAATAGAAACATGTGCGACCATCAGCGACCTAACAACCCACCGTCCTGGGTCTTCAGAAAAATGTCAGGTGATGATCTACTAGTTGTAGTTTGAGGACGTTTGGGCGATTGAGTTACTGGTCAAGGCCATCCAGTGGCCACCTCTCCTCATGGTTTGCCAAATCCCCAGCCACCAAATCGCCAGCACCCCACTATGTTCGTCTGTGGCCCAGTAGCGCGCACGGACGCCGCTTGCGACAGCCAAACTGGGAGGCGCCACCCAGATCACGCGGCGGAGAATCGTATCCCACATGGCCAACTATAAGAGATAACACATTTTTGATGAGACTGTAGTAGTCTAGTGCTGGTGGTGGTGCTGCTGTTGCTCCTACTGCTGGCGCTGCTCATCCTACTACGACCGCTACTCCTCCTGCTGCTGCTACTACAACTACCACTACAACACAATGTTCCTATTCTATCCTATTCTACTGTACTAGTTAAAGTGTGTGGCAGTTCTTCTGCTGGATCAGTGGGATCTGCTACAGTGAGACCCTGAGACCCTGAGACCCTGTAGACCAGCCATGTAGGGAGTGCTGACTTGCCAATGTGATAACGGCTCCACCTAATTAAGAGCCGGCTAAGCTGCAGCAAGAGCCAAAGGTAAAAGTGAACCCTGAACTCCAAAAAGGGAATGAAAGCTGGGGTGGTCTTCGTAGACATTGACATTGTGACAAGGAGTTGCACGCTTCACTATGTCATGGTCAGTGGCAAATATCATCATAAATATATCATACCTCACTTAACTTCCCAAAGACATTTGCGAGTTTCTATTGGACGAACTGCCAAACCTCCCAACTCTCCCCAGTGGTTTAACTTGAAAATGCATCACATATATCATTTGTCACTTGAGACCCTATTGTCCAAAGCCTGGACCCTGTGGACAAAAGTCAAGCCCAGGCAGGACCAAAGGGTCTGCTGTGTGTGTCCTATGATTGATTTCAACATATTTCAACGTCACTTTTCAACTACTCTCCCTGGAGACGGATGGCACCCCCTGTGTGGTATTCGGAAAATGGTCTTCCAAGTGACCATGCCATCCACTTCCATGGTTTCCTCACCTGGATCTGCCCCTCACGCCCCGACGCTGCCTCGGGGATCGGCGGCGCAGGGCCTGCCAAAAGGGAGCTACGAGTCAACGAGTGGGTTTGGATTGCCGTAGGTCGGTCTACAACAATAAGACCAAACCAAAAAATCTGACCAGCTTCAGTTTCCTTTTGGACTTTTGGTTTTGAAATATCCGATCCACTCCAGGATGGCTATACATCCAAATGTTTAAGTCATCAAACCAAACAAGTTAAACCATTACAAAGCTTGCTGCATAAAGCAAGATGTCCTGAGCATTCAAATGTTCTCCATTTGGGGACCTGCAGATTCATCTGAGCCAGTCACACATATCAACCTTGAACCACTTCGCCGCTGGGGCCACTCGCTACATCGCTGCTTCCACGTCTTTTTCTCACAGCTCGCTGTGGCCAAAGGGTTTGGCTGCTTTGTCATCCAGCCAGGCCACGAAGGAGTCCTCAGCAAGCATGTGTTTGATCTCAGTGATATAGCTCTGAACGGCTCCCTCTAGCTCGCCACGGAGGAAAACAAATGGATACCCCCCGGCTCCGAAGTCGCTCCCGTCCACGGCTCGCGCGATCCGTCGCGATCGAGCCTGCTGGTGCGTGCGGATCCCCCGAAGTTCTAAGGCTGGATCTGAAAACGCCCTGGACACTATTCCTCACAGGAGGAACAAGTGGAAAGGTAACTGCCATTTGTATACAATATTTTTTGTAATGGTCCAAATTGCAAATCCCTAAACAGAGTGGACATCAGTGTGTTGACCTTTTGTTCCATTCAGGAAACAGGTGGGCTCAAAGGAAGTGAACTTGCAGTTTGCTCCAACAAGTTCCATGCACATTCGCCAGGTTTATCTCGTTATTTGTTGGGCATGGTTTACAGTACTGGTTTCCAAAAAAAAGGCTGGCTGGGTGGTCTTAAGCATCAACAAATATAACTAATACCTCGATCTTTACTTTTGGAACGGGCAATTAAGTTCCCAATCCGCTGGCCGCTGAAACTAGTTTGCGCTTGCCGGCGACCAAAAGGAAGGCCATTGTTGTTTCAACCCTGGCATGTTGCATCTTTGCAAACCTTTGCATGTCTAGGAACATAATGCATTCAAACCCAAGCAACACCCGAGGACCTTTTTGTAATACCAACGAAATATATCATTTTGTCCAGCGGTAAAACACACCTGACCTAACCCAGAAATGGATCCTCAACCCCAATGTTGTTCTTGCCCTTCCTGGCAGCTTTTGTTGGTCACCTGTTGTTCGTTGGTGTCCCTTTTCTTCTCCTCTTTTTGTCCAAACATGGGTTTGTGACGTGTGTCGCAAAATGTAGAAAAGGACAAACCCCATCTGCCCCACCGTGTTGCTCCCAATGCGGTGAACGAAAACCAGAGAAACATCTGAAAATACAGTCAACCCTTTCACCTGACCATGGGATTCCCCTCCAGAAACATCTAGCAAAAGTCCCGCGCTCTGCTGCTGAGGTGCCACATCACGATCCCCATCGTAGTCCAGTGGCTCCTCCTAAAACGATCCCACAGCGTTGAGACGAGAAACCCAAGTTGATACCCCCTGCAAGAACTAGGCCTCGAACAGCTCACATCCCTAAGACAGTGTTCGGATGTTTTTGGCCCAGTCCTACATACCACCGGGGGATTTGAGCCCAAAAGTCCAGAACAGGGCTGGAGACTTGGGAAGCCACCTGGAGACTCGGGGATACTCCGGAACTCCATCCGAGTCCGGAGGACTCATGGGAACTGGTTCTCACGCGAAACCAATCTTCACCGGACTTTCCTTTTCCTTACGGAGCCGGCGGTTGGGAATGTCCACATGGCCCGGGCTTGACCATGCAGTCGGCTGCATCCTGTGAACAATGGTTCGCATACTAATACTCAACACATCTCAGCATCAATATGTCACACAATTATATAAGTATAGTCTTTGGAACCCGTGACGTCCCCTGGAAACGGCTGCGCATGCGAATGATCTAGAAGCCTGGGAAGTCACCCTTGTGGCAGCACATCATCCATCTTCGTTGAGGAATGGCTACCCCAAGTAGTCAGGTTTGGCCGGTGACCAAAGAACGCCCGTAGCACTCCAGACATTTCGTTAGCTTGCATGCCTTCGCAAGGCCCATCATCCTGGGGCACTCGATCTGCTAACTGCCCAGCCGCCCCAGCTCATCCCAAACCCTGCGCATTGTGCGCAGGTCCGTCTCCTTGTGGTCGGCCCGCCAGAATTTGATGGTTGGAAAGCCCTCGATGTCCACGCCCTCCACATCGTTGGCCGTCGCGTCGATCTTGGCGATCCTGAAGACATGGGCGAACAAAAGGCACGGTAAAAACACCATGTTGCACATCACATCACCTCCCAAACCGATAGTCTCCCTTCCAAAAGGATTGATTCATGTCAACAATATCTCCAACCGCTGCCACTTTGAGCAGAGCAGGGTGTCTCTCCGGTCAAGCTGATACCACGAAGGCTTTCCGACAAGACTCGACCATCAATGTGAAAGCAAGGAACAAACATGGAAGTGGATGGCAGCCCCATGCACCCCCTGTTGTAGAGAAAATGGTCTTTCCAAAGGCCACTGTCCACCTCCATGTTTTTTCCAGGAAGAGCATGACTTGTTTCTCTATAGCTGCTATGTTTCTCTAAACTGGGGTCAGATCACATGGGAGTCACGTCTCCAAGTGAGACGGGGGGAAGGGGATGCTGAGGTATGCATCTTAAAATCCCATGTGCTATAGAATCCCATCAACCTTGGATCCTGGAAGCCTTGAAGTGGTCGCATCACTGCCTTGAAGCCAAGCTTTTCAGGACCCCACAGCCAGATGGCTTATCTCTGCAACATCCCCCTTCAGGGTGGTGCCTCTTGTTTGGCTCTCTGAGCTTCACAAGAAAAAGAAAACGATTCGGCTCTCCGAGCTGCACAATCGAAGGTACACTTTCCAGCTTCTTGGCCTTGGGGTTTCGCATGCCCAGTCGGTTCACGCTGAGTCCTCGGAGTCCTCCTATGTCCAACGAATGAGCGGTGATGTGCGACACGCTGAGGAGTGGTTGCATGAAGTTCAGCCCTGAAACGGACAGGACATTGGACCTTGCAAGGACCCACCTTCTTCATCTGCTAAGAAAAGGTTACATCAGGTTACCTTGGTTCCCTGTGAGTAGCTGAGTGGATGGGACAAGAAAGGGTCTTCCAGTTTAGCAAGGCTTTTTGGTATACTTGATTCTGACTTGAGAGAGGAGGGATTATTGAATGAAAGCTAGCAGGCAATCACAAGTAACCCTGGTAGAAGTCCATGACGGCGACGGTGCAGGGGTGTCGAACCGAATCCCTTTTGAGGACCAAACTCTGGGCACAGCACCAAGTCCTGATTGTAATACATTTGTGCTAAAGCAAGGAGAACTCAGGTAGCCTGAGGCTACCTGTCGTGATTTGATTACACCAGTATATACTTGTGTTTTTTCCAGACTGCCTGGTGCATCAAAGTAGATCCAGGGAAGCATGGCTTGCAAAGTGAAGCAAGTGAGAAAACGTTGCCAGTTGCAAAGGAAAACACTGGCATACTGAATGCCACTGCTACGGCTGTACCAGTCAAAAAGACACATAGCAAGTCACCAAGTCTATGGAAGAGATCAAGAATTCAATGGCACTGTGGAGGTAACATGATCATGACAACGCTCATCGGCTTGGTCAAAACTCAACCTTATCCACTTCCAAGTGCCCCTAAGTGTCACTGTCGTGCATCACAAGCACCAAAAGCAAACAACCAAAGGAAAACATAACAAGTCGTTCATCCAGTCAACAACAAGGTCACTAAGGTACGGAAACCAAATCATTGACGAGGGGCTACTGAGGTGTAGACCGGCTCTAGCTTCTTGCAATGGCCACACCAGGGCGCATAGAACTCCACCAGGACATCCTATACCACCGCACCCGCCAAACGAAATGGATGCCAGGTGCATGCCATGTGGGTCTTCCACAAGGGACCTGAGGGGACAACAAAAGCACATGGTTAAATGGTCTTATGCGACACGTATGCTCCATGATGGATTCTCTGTTCCAGCCCAAGATGCGCAGATCATGCAATGGCAGTAGCAGAACCAGTCCCAGAATTTGGATTGCGAACTGTCAAAGGTATAGGCATGCATTCTCCAAGAGCAAGGTCGGAATGTATGGTACGATGCTGTATGGGCAGTTTGGGGCGATGGAGGTTGCTTAGACACTTGGGAGTACTTGATTGGCAAGGTGTACAATACTTTGGAAGACCTACTCTACACCACCGTGAACCTGTCTAAACAAAGAACATCAAAGAACTGTCCATTCCTGTTACCGTTTCTGTCCGTTGCTTGAAAACAAGTGGTGCAAGGTTCTGTCCATCAACCATACCATACCACCAATGTTCCCACCTTTGTCTGTGAATGACGTTCGAAACTGAAGGGTCATGAGTCCAATGTATCGATCTATGACTCTATACTATCTCACTATCTCTTTCCATCCATCCATCCATCATCATCCATCCATCCATCAATCCATCCATCCATCCATCCATTAGCGTCATATCGCATACTACCAAAGACCATCGTGGACTCTCTGAACAAGTCGATTTTCCAAGTCTTACAAACAACAACATTCCTTTGTGACATTGATGCGTAGGGTCTCTTCCAAGAAGTCAACTGTTCAACTCTACTCTCTGACTCACTAACATCTGGAACCGGAAACCACCTCACAATTCGGAACATGTACGAGCATCGTCTTCGGGTTATTCAGCCGTTACTTTTGCAGGATGACACCTAGACCGAAAAAACGCCGTCAAAGCCCGTCGATGTCCCAATTTCCCCAGGCCTTTTGGGGGTCCTTGACGATGGATTCGAAGGTGGAACCCACCAGGGTATAGACCTCGCTGCCGACCAACGAGACGCCAAACGTCCGACGAGTCTTTTTTCCTAATGAAACGTCCAGAGGTTTTGGTGATTTTAGAGAGGTTGGTGGAGTGGGATCTTCCAAGGTTCCACTTCTCTCCATGTGTGCGGGATGGATGGTATCTGGCATCGACTTGAAATGTTCGCGTCTTTTTGCCCCGGAATCCGCCGTGTTCTTCGGATCTCCACTTGGTGTAGGGAAGGGGCCGGGTGCCCGAACTTACCTTAACTGATTGGTGCTTCAAAGAAACATTGCACCAGGAATTGGTTGAAAATTTGGCTGCAAGCATTCGCCATGAACATCATGAACCCTTCCGCAAGTTGAATCTGTTCCTCCCGGACTCTCCACATGACGGGCAACTTGCACGTTGAATTTGGTACCCAAATCAGGCGCTGCAACAAGCTGCACCTCGAAAACTCCATTTAGACATGTTCCGTGGACTGAGACGATCTGAGATGCATCTCACAAACCGAGAGTAGAACGCTTCACATGTTTGGTATGATCCATTTGGTCGTTGGATGTTTCTTTGTCTTTTTATGTTTTCCAAAGTCCTTGTATGCCTCACCCACAACGGAGAGACACAAAAAGTGTGGACCGTATGGAAAGCATTGGAAATAACATTGAACACACATGCTTGCAAGCACAAGCAGGGCGTTAGCGGCGCTAGTCCACCAAGGCACGCTGCACTGCTGCACCCTTTCCTAGAGTTGAGCGACCCCCTGTGCCCTGATCCAGTCTTTCAATCAAGGATCTGGTCCAGTCTGGCTCGTGGGCACTGGCTCCTCAAAATCGAGAAGCACTTGGGCGACTGGATCAAAAAGGGAGGGAGTCAGGCAAACACAAGCACACAATGCAGCACAGTGCTGTGCAATGCACCGCAAGTTCACTTCAGATGTTTTTCGATTGAAACAAGTCCTCCCACCTGGCCGTTTCTTGGAGAGGCCTCGTCGCTTTCATCTGCCAAGCTTCGGACTGCAAGTACTTCTTGAGCCGTCCAGCTTCAAACTCTTGCACGAAGGAGAGCAGGGATGCCTGCAGGGTTTCCATACGCTGCAGGAAGCACAGCAACCAACGCACATGCCATCTGGCCACCTCCACATATATATATATATATGTTTCTTAATGTCTCTTATCACCTCTTGTCCAATGTAAATCTCACATAATCTGAGACAGTCTCCTGGATTTCTTAGATCAAACGGGTACAATCTGCTCCCTGTATAAAACGCCGTGAGTCCTCCAAAAACACCACCCCTCCACCAGTCGCGACCTCCGTCACTTCTCCCTCCAAGCGATACTTGGCCATGGCCCCCTGTGGCTCAGTGACCAAGCGTGCAGTGGGCAGCTCCTCACTCACGCTCACGAGTCGCACGCGGTGCTCACGTCGCCACGTGCCGGTCACGGAGGATGGAAGGCTTCACAGGACCCTGCAGTTACCCCCTGCGGTGAGCGTCCGCAAATAATCAGGAGGAGAGGAGGGCAAATAAGAAGATGGGAAGATCCAAACACCAACAGGAAGGTGGTCGTGTGTTGGGATTGGTTCATATTCTATCTACTCCAGGATGGTTCTACATAATGATAATACAGAACCATGTAGAACCTGCGTAACCGGTGTGTAGAAAAGCATAGGAAACCATGCATGCCCTGATCAACAATGTGTTGCACTCGACTCCAGTCCCAGGGAAACCTGCCACGAAAACGGGTTCTAGAATTCTTGTTATCAAATGTACTGCCCTGTTCCAGAGTGGCAGCAGCGCCTGTGTTAGCAGCGCTTTTGATATGTTTGAATCCTCCCGGTTCCTTGAAAAGGGTTCCAGTTCGGTCGAGAACTTCCAATCTTCGCTGCGAGTCAACCGGTCGGGGACAAATCGGCATACCGCACCGCAACTGCGACCCACCCAAATATGACCGGCTCCACAAACTTCCCAGGCCATGATCGAGTGTATATGTTGTTTTTTCCTTATAGGGTGGCAGTTCCTTTCGCCGGATCAGAATCGTCCAACCCTCCTCCCACTTTAGGTCCCAAACGGCGTGGACACCACACTGCACTAAACAACTCAACTCCTCCACCTCCACGCTGACATAGTCCATCAACCGTTGATCCATGGGTTCGCCTCGGGCTGCGACTTTGGGTGAAGTGGTTCACAACCAAATGATCCAATCCTCAAAAGAAACAAGAAGCGACTAGGGGCTCCTGGCCTTACTAGGAGCAAGGACGCTACTAGGGGCTCCTGGCATCGCTACTAATGGCATTTTTACTACTAGTAACAAGGAGCTACTAGGGGCTCCTGGCATCAAACATTCTCAAGTCAAGTACTACAGTGGTTTCAGAGTAGATGGCACTGGCATCCCAATGTCCAAAACAAATGGGGCTCCATCAACGCCACCAAGCTTGGGGGCCCAAACGCGCCATCTACTCTCAATCTAAATATGGATTTATGGCAAGTCTATCCTCAGCTCAACTCCGGTCGACTCAGCTCATGGCTCGACCCGGCCAGTGCCACCAGCAGCCGCCGCTGCAGCTGCTTGGCGGCTCCGCGGAGGGCCTCCTCGGCCGCATCGCCTAGTGGCGGTCCGGGTGTGTGGTCCTCTGCTGGTACGTCCTCCACTCAAGGGCAGCCCTCCCAACAAACAAAGTGCAAATAAGTTGAATGAATCTATACCATATATAAATACATACAGTATGTACATGTGTGTGTCAACACAATTTCTAGTCATAGTTGCCTATAACCGCGATGTCTCTTCCCATTACTGCTCTATCGCATTGGGCCTGCCCTTCACTACAAGCTGCACCAGCACGACCAATGACTCCCCGGCCTTTCCCATCCTTATCCCTGAAAAGGAAAAGGATCGGCCGGCCGTCGCTAAACAAGTCGGCTGCGGTCTCCTCAGTGCATCTCGCGGTCGACACGTCCGATTCGGCACAAAGGCGATTGGTCCATGGAACCTTCCGAAGGACGCCGGCATCTACAAAGATTTACAAAGCACACAGGAGCGAATGAAACAGCTATCCTTTGAAACTTTGAAGGGACTTGTCAAGCTCATCTGGTTGTGGCTCAAAAGCAGGGTGCCATCCCAACACATTGATAAAACATGATAAAAGTGAAGGAACAGTGAAAGAAATCTACAACCTGCGTCTTCCTGCGTCTAGATTTTGGGGTCCTGATCCATGGACTGGTAGCGAGGTATTTGCCCCACAATATGCCGGCAATCCCTGCTTCGTGTTCTTAGGTTGTTCAATAAATAGACGATTTATTAACATTTACTTTACTAGTTTTTCCCCACCTGCCAGGTGTGGGTTGTTAGATTTTATGTTAGCTGACTTCTCCTTCTCCTCCTCCTCCTCCTTCTCCTCCTCCTCGCCGGACCTCAACCACGACCATCCACGCCCAGTGTTCCCTGCCGGACCTCAACCACGACCTTCCACGCCCAGTGTTCCCTGCCGGACCTCGACCACAGCACACAACCACAAACACACAACTACAAACACAACCACAAACACACAACCACAACTACAAACACACAACCACAACCACAACTACAAACACACAATCACAAACACAATCACAAGCACACAACCACACACACACACAATCACAAACACACAACCACAAACACAATCACAAACACAACCACAAACACAATCACACACACAACCACAAACACACAACCACAAACACAACCACGAACACACAACCACAAACACGCATCCACAAACACAATCACGAATCACAAACACACAATCACAAACACAACACACAACCCGAGGACCCACAAACAAAATCGAGAACTACAATACTCACGACCATGGCAACATTGTCCTCACTATGGCATCAAGACAAATGATTGAAATGTCATGGTGGGATCACTCGAAGTAAAGTAATTAAATGATTATGTTTTTAATATGGATCCAGGATGCTCAAAAAGAACCTCTCACTCCCCCAGAAGCACCGAATAACTATCCGGCTGCCGATTCCAAAATGAGACAATCATTCACATCGCCCCTGCCAGGCAATCGATGTACCAAATGGTCTGAGAATTTCTGAGACAACTCCTCATGATTCCCGTCCCCTGACATAAAAAAATCCACACCGAGCAGAGAACCTGAGATCTAAACCCAGTCCCAGACTCGCCCGAGAAGTGGGTGACCATGGGATGGCGATGAGCCTTCACGAAGGATTCAATCTCCTCATCCCGCGAGCAACGAGGGCGACGAACACACGAAAGACTGCGCTCAACCGGAACAAGAGTCGCTGCTCAAATTCCTTCATCATCCTTCACCCCAAACTCCTCGGCGCTGCTCAAGTCGCCCAGAAATGTGGCCGACTGCTCATCATGGGGGAAGAACATCTTCAAGGAGGGCGCTGATGCCTGGGACGTTTCCGCTGACACAGAATGTGTTGGTCCGCTGGTCGGAGCACTGGATACGTCCGGTGAAGTCAAGCGACTCATGTCAACAGCCGGAACAATGTTCGCTACGTTCGGGGCTCCTGGCCGTACTACTAGGAACAATGTTCGCTACTAGGAGCAAACAATCCCCGTTGACTACCTGAGTGAAGCTCAATCTTCAATCTGACCGACGTGGCTTGCCACAGGCCTCGTACTTGCTCAGCACATCAGGTGCAGTACTGTAGGCGAACATGACATCCTGGAGAGGGGCGGAACTCGAACTGGAAACGATGTCAAGAACCCAGCACCACCCGGACACATCCAATGCACTTCTTCATGTGTTCTCAACCGGTTCGCCGTTTTAAACAAACGGGCGAGAACACATGAAGGAGTGCATCCCAAGAATATCCTTTTAACCTTAGACAAGGAGGTGACGGCCCAAGACCAATCAACGCACATTTTTTAATAGACACATTTCAGTCGCTCTGGTGGCCAAAACACCTGCTCACCACAACCAGCACCACCAGCAGCCAGGAATGGGGCCAATGGATCCGCAACGAATGAACAGAACTGAGCGACTCAACACGTGGACGGTTGTGGCTGGAGGATAAATGGCACGACACTTGCCACGACCCAGCGGAGGGATGTTTGACCCTGTTTGGGCCTTCGCTCCCACATGGTGTTCGTTGGGCCTTCTGTTTAGTAAAACCGCCTGTCTCTTCTGCCTGGCCATCTGCCTGAGTCCACTTTTCACCTTGCTCGCGGGGTGTGCTGTGTCTTTGGAGGCTTTGCCTCCGCAAAGCACGAGCCTCCCCATCACACGATGGGAGCTCCATCATCAAACCTTGCCACCACGTCTGAAGACATGTCATACGTAGAGTTCACACTTAATAAAACTCCATCTATCTTGCTTAACAGGCCAATTGCTCAATCAGTTGAAGGAACTAAAAGTTAACTGTCAATTTAAGAACATTGAAGGTCAGTATCCGTATCTCGAGCCCCTCAAAAATCGCTCCGTTCTGTTTGCGTGTGTGTTTTTTTTCTGGTGGCTGCGGTGTATGCGCGCATTTTATACACTTATATATCGACTTCTGCGCCTTGACCCGTCACTCTCGCGCCGACGCGAGACCCGAGGCTCGAGGATCATATGTCTTCTTGATCGAACCGAGAGTTTTCCTTTCTTGTTCAGAGTTCTTTGGATTTTTTTCATCTTCTTCCTCGCCAAGGACAAAGGTCCAGGTGCTGAAAAACGGTGCTGGAAGTGCCGAGACCCCATGAAAATGGAGATCTGCTTCGACAGAAAGGTGCGACTATGTGGTTCTATAAGGACAGCCTGACATCCTCGAGTTTTGGAAGTGGTGGTACACACATCCACTTCTTCAGTTGCTTTCTTCCCCCTCCCCATGCCATAACAAGGCCTCGCGGTTTGAATGCAGTGTGGATTTCACTTGCTTTAAGTCCAATGGCTCTTGATCGTTTGCAATCGATCCTTCAAACGTTTACCCATTTAACAATTACTGTTGCAATATGTTGTGATGTAGGCTGAACAGGTTTTTCAATCCTTGTTAATCAAGAGTCTACAATACAATCCTTGATTCTATTCTTGGTGACCGATATGGAACCATCTACGTGTATATAGATCCTTTTTTCAAGATGGCGATTCATCAATAAATGACTAAGTATATTGTTTAAACATATTAGTTTTTCCATGCAGGCTGCCAACATTCCATCTTCTAAGAGATGTGTGCCCGTGTCTCGGTACTTCCAACTGGGTGAAATCAATGTTGAGCGATCAAAAAGGCCCGAAGGGACGTAGATTGCTCCAAAGTAGGTCAATCTAACACAGCATGCAAAGGAATCAGGAGCGGCACAAACTACTCTGTAGCAGCTTCTGCCACCTCCATAGTGTCACACCCCCATGAGCACTGGCAACTGGGGACCATCATTGATCTCTGGCAGAATATCTTGGACTTTCGCAATGTTCAGAACTGACTTCTTGGACGGCTCAGCTGGTGACACATCTTCAACCCCTACCTGTCCGGGTCCTGCCAAAGAATCCCTTGTAAACACAAGTAAATCATGGAGGACAATGTGAGAAGAATAAAGGCAAGCAAAGAAGATTAGAATGACTAAGCTGGTGTCTGAAAGCCCCTGCCCTTATACTGTCACGCTTACTATACATCTGTAGTGATTCTAGTTTGAATGGACATGTCCTCAGGTTCCAATGAAGCCAGCGTCCCTTCCGGCCCAGTAAATGAGCGCACACATGTGTTCATGGCGTCTTCGACGGGCTGAAAATATGTTAGCAGAAGGCCAGCCAGGGCAAAACGAGAAGCATTGGAACTTTGATGAATTTTGAGGAACTCAAAATATGTTTTGAATAGTTCTGTGGATTTCGATTGCTTCAGTTCGTGCCAGTCACTTGCAAATGTCTGACGGGACTGTTGAAAGTCCTCAAGCTAGCCGTGGAAGTGAATGCCTCTCTCTCGAGAACAGTTTTCCATCTTGACACTTCTCCTGTTGAGGGCAAATAGCAATGCCACTTACACTTCTAGAACATGTGCAAGCATCTTGGTACTCACACACCGCATGCCACTCACATACTTCAAACATGTGATTATATAGTCAGGCCTTAGATCGACAGCAAAAAAGGCCTTTGTGGGAGTGGAAGGGAAGGTTCCGCCATCAGCTTGCCTGGCCAGGCCCCACATGTTCGTCGGTTCTACCGCCGCTTCACCATACTCACCTGCCTCACGGAAAGCGGCCTCAAAGAAGCATGCTCACAGGAGAAAGGAATATTGTAGCTGTTCACAAGTTCTTTGTGCATAGCTGGTGGGTTGCCCCATGTGCTATATAGATACAACAAACACCAGGCATTGCTTGTCCTTGACAAGTGATGTAAGTGTGACATAAGACGGATCTTCAAAGCTCACCAAGCTGTTCACTAGCACAATTGATCAATTCGGCCTTACGGCTGGGCCGTCAAGGATTCTTGTATCTAAGGACGTGTCAAGCCTAAAACATGATCAACATTGAACAAACCGCATCGATTGGAAATTGAACCATGTTTTGCTCGAGCAAATTATGTTGGCCTGTTCGCGCCAATCTTCCGGAGTGCCCTGACACGTCATTTTGCAAGTTTACCCACCGAAAAGGAATTGGTCATCTAAACCCCATGCCGGGCCGTTCAGGTCGTCTTACTATGTAGAGTGTTGATAAAGTCCGCCATATCGAGATGTAAACACATTCTGGCAGGAGATTCTATCAATCATCAGTCTACATTATCAGGCGGATTGTTTGTTTTCCTCTCTCTGTGCGGGCTTAGCTCTCTCGCTGCCTCAAACTGTACACTTGCAGGGTCTTTCATGGACAATGGGTCATGGGTCCGCCCACTTTTTTGAAATTGTATTACGTCCAGGTCCAGGTTCTAAGGTTCTAGTCGTTATGATGCTGTCGGCTTCCACGGTCGTGCTTTGCTGCCGCCACTGTTTCTGGTACTTGCCCTTCTGCATCAAGCGATGCTGTGTCCTAAGAATTAAGTATATATATAAGTAACCATTGAAAGGTCTGATGTTTCATGCATTTCTACAACACGACTGAACAGTGGAACACATCGGAGTCCAGCTAGTCACCCGGCAAAGCAGCCCGAACATGATTGAATGAAAGGGTCGGTGTACTCAGCTTAGCTGCCTACGGCCTCCGACTACAGCAGCCAGCCAACAGTCATGTTTGACGAAACTTTATGTTGAACATGGCAACCTACGTGTCGCAACCGTTTCCAACCAATTCTTCTCTTCTCCATCGCCCTCTCAAGAGTTTAGCCGTTAGCTTTTTCCAACCAATTGATAACCCTTTTTATTGCTGATTTGGGTTCCAACCACTTCCCGCGTCTTTGACCAGCTGCATATACATCAGCTCGACGCCACCTTTGGGGCGCCTGGGGTTCCCTGGCGAGTGAAGCTCTCCTTGGCGCAGCTTCGCCAGGCGGGTTGCGAGCGTGGCTTTGGACCCCAGCACCCTTTCTTTGGCATTGAGGGATGGCGACAGGGAAGGTCTTCTGAGCTTCTGGAAAGAAAAAATGCTTTTGCTTTTAAGCTTGTCTTATATAAAGCATGCAAGTGTCTGCGAAAAGTCTTATAAACGGAAGACTCCAGGGAACATAAACAACTGACCCCCAAGTAGACGCTACTCCGAAAGGATGTTATATTTTTCAGCCGTGGAATCGGAGTGCCTGAATGCGTCTTCATGGCTTCAAGGGATGGAAAAATGATCGCCGACCAGCCTCCTCCTACTCCTCCTCCTCCTCCATGGGTGCCAGATCGTTGAACACATGCATTGCTGGTCACAAGTCCAAACCCATGCCATAAAGCATCAAATGTAAAGTCCTAAATCCATTCCAGACTTGCACATGGCTCAAAATTTTCCCCACCTTTTTTCTGAGATCAATTTTAACTGAAACAAAAGGCTTCTTAAAAAAACAAAAAAAAACGTTGAACACCCTCCCAGAAATCGCACGTTAACATACGTTAACATGTCAGAAGGAACAAAAGGCTCCCGACCGACGCTCGACCCGACCCTCGGAATCGCCCAAGGCTCCCCATCCGACATTTGTCGGAACGCCTGCAGCGGGAACGGACGCTTCGCCGGACACCGGTGATCGATGCCACTCCTGGATGAGATTGAAACATAACCCGTTGTTCCAAAGGGATTGGCTGGTGGTTGTGAAAGGCCGGGTTTTGTCTGCCATCACTGGGTCTTGCAAGTCAATTGGAACAGTTTGGGGAACTCCTCACCACGTTTAGGTCGTTTTGGGGTGGCTGTGTCGTAAGCGGTGGGTTTTTACCTTTTTTGTGTCGTAAGCGCGGAAGAATTGGAACAGGCTTCTTCAATATCTTGGATAAACCTTGGAGTCTACGGTCCGGGATTGTCCGGTCAGGCACAAAAGGCTCCCGAAAAAATATTTTTGTTAGCCTTTGGCAATTTTGGCATAGCCAGTTGCTCAAAGGGTGATATACGAGGCGAGGGTTCATAAACTTGGAAGCCAGCAGTCGTAGACCCTATTGGCCCAGATTTCTTTTCTCACACTGCTCTTCAAGCCTTCAAGCACCCTACAACTTTGGGTTTTATGCACATGATTGCTTGACCATGCTTGCTTGACCAAAACAGAACACTGGCGGATTGATGTGCACATCTACACTGCCGAAAGGCTCGTGCAATTTGTAAGCCCATTGTGCAACACAAGCGAATGCTCCCAGCCTT